AAGGCAAGATAAGCCACAGGGGCTAATGCCAGGATTTAGGCAGGATGCTGGCTTGGAGAACCCCCTTGGTAGGTGAATGAGCCTTTATTTTCTCCATGCTGCTCTGGCAATGAATTAGTCACCGTTCCCCAGTCTTTCTTCACCATCCCTCTGTGTATTTAGTCACTGGTCACCTGTAACTCCCCAAATGAACATCCTGTTTGTGTCCAGTGTTGTAGGCCCTGTGAAAGAACTCGATTCTGGGAATGTGTCGAGAACGTGACACCTATCCGTATTTGCTTAGCTAATAAACTCGGCCCTCTGTCCAATTCTCCTAACGAGAACAAAACCCAGTGGCCAAAAACCCACTGGTTTTGAGAAGCCACCACATTCCCTGCACGCTTCTTGGGAGTCTACCTGATACCTTTCAGGGCCTCCCCCTCCTGAGTCCCGAAGAGCCTGCAGGACTTCATGCCCCATGTTCACTAGTTTTGTTTTTTTGTTTTGCTTTGTTTTTTGGTTTTTTTCTTCTTTAATTTTTTATTTCTTTTCAGCGTAACAGTATTTTAAAAGGATTTGGTACTTACCCTCAAAAAGCCATTTCACTTGCTAACCCTCCCTGTAAAAACAAGTTACGAAAACAATGGGGATGGGGGGAGACCTTCAGACTCTTTTCATTCTCAAGAAAAGCAGAAGTGAATCCCAGGAAGGAGGTGTGGACTTAGAAGGATGTGGCATTTCCTCAGGATTTGGTGGGAACTCATTGATTTCATTTACAACAATCGCGAGTCGCCTGTCAGGGGGGTCATTTTCCCTCGGCCGGCTCAGCCCTGAACACAAGGACACCTTCAGGAAGAGGAAAAGGAAGAAATACAGTCCCGGAACCTCGGATGTGAACCAGGAAATTCTTGTCCGCTCTGCGCTGATTTAAAAGGGCCCAACAAATTCCACTCACTGTTTGCAGTTTACGAGTGGGCCGTGGGGGTCGCCCCCAGGCCAAGCGCTCAGTGCCTTCTGCACGAAGCGATCCGTGTTAGCTTTCCGTTAGCCCAAAATATCCTTTACTGAAAAGAAGTGGGGATGCCGGTTGTCGCTGGGAACGTTACCCAGGTCTTTGTACTCCGTGAACCCTCACTAAACCTTCAGGACCAAACAGAAGTTCAGAGAACGATGGGATTATTAAAGTCCGCCCCGCTCTCCATCTCTCAAAGGCTGGTTCCTGCCGATGCCCTGCACACACCTGTTTCCGCAGAACGAACTGCTTGCTCTGTCGTCCTCCCCCCCCCCCCCCCCCCCCCCCCACTGCTAGAAGAAGTGTCTTGCTTCTCGGAAATTCCAAGTACCAAGTCCACGCCTCGCTACAGCCGGTAGTTTTCTATTCTGTATTGCGGTTCTTCTTGGGTCTTGAGCAGGACCATAAGCTCCCCGCGGGCCGGCCGGTCTCCCTTGGTGCCTAGTAGAGTGTGACACACACAGCAGATGCCCCCTACACGTGAGCCGAGTGAACGAGCTAGTGTCACACTTGAACAAACCGAAGTAACTGGCCAGAGGCTAAAATGTACGCCCTCGCCCAGAAATGTGTGTGTGGTGAACACCACTCATCGATCAACGGGGATGGGAACAGGAAGAGCGGAAATTTATGTTAAACTAAATTATCCCAAACCGGGAAATAAGGCGAAAAGAAGACTGTGAGTCCTTATGGGGTTGTACTAGATCGTACTAGATGGCACTAGATCATACTAACACATAACCCACCAAGGCGGCCCAAGGAAGAGTCCCGTAACTCTCCAGGATGCCGGGCCATAGGGTCCGGCTTTCTCTTCACTCCTGATCCAGTCTTAGTCTGGGCAAAGTTAAACATTAACTTGGAGAACTGATGCTATACCACTCATTTTGCCCAAATGTTATGACTTTCCAGCCCTTTGGGTCATGAACCGGTTTTGCATCTAAGTTAGCTCCCTGATCCTAGCGCCCTTCTCCCTGCGCAACGCCCCCAGCGCCCCCCGCACCCCATGTGTGTGGGCATTGGCTTCTGCTCTGCTCCTTCAGGCCAGCCTTACAACCTTGCTGACGCCTTCATCAGTGCCTTAAATAAATTTTCAACAGACTCACTGGATTATTGCATGAGAACTGGATGCTCAATATTTTGAAAAGTTACACTCTGAGAATATTAATAATTATGAATAAGAAATACATAATATAAAAGTAAAAAATAGGTACTTACACTATCATTTTTCTACCCATAATTAATTTTAATTTTTATCCAGAATGTTTTCCCCAAATACCAAATTTATTCACCCACAAGGATTCCTTTCCATTCCTAAGGCTTTATACAGAAACCCAGTGAAAAGAATACATACTCTTTACTCCTTGTAAATAACTTTCAATGGCACGTACGATCAACTCACTAATAGCTTTATTTAAAAAGCCTCTATAACAACTAAATATCTGATCTTTTGGAAGAAAAATAAAATCTGCTGGTAAATTTCTCTCTATCCTTTGAAATGACTGAACATTATGGAAAGTAATTTTCCATGTTAAAATGAATAGCATTTTGTAAATTCAAGCCATACTGAGATTGCATTAAGAGCGAGACAGTTGTTCTGAAATCACTACAGGCCGTAATAGAAACCAGACACTAAATGCTTTAAGAAGTAACTAGCTGAAATTGAATGAAATAATCACCCAATCCATAAAGCCTTTGTAAAATTTCCCCATAAAACACAGGTAATTTTTTTTTTTACTGAAGAGAAATTATTCTTTCTTATTGTCCTAAACATCAAATGCCATCACTTCATAAAAATAAAATATAGCACATGGATCATTCCATTTAGTTCACCCATTTATTCCTATAACACATTCACTGTGCCCTACAATAATGAAAACATTGTGCTTGTTCACTGGTATTTACCATGTTGTTTAATCAACAAGGCTCAAAATAGTCCCTGGAGAGACCCTTGCCAAAAGCATATCCATTCTTTTTTTTTTAAGATTTTATTTATTTATTTGGGTTGGGGGGTAGAGAGAGGGAACGCTCAAGTTGGGGAGGAGCAGGGAGAGAGAGGGAGAAGCTGAGCGCGGAGCCCGATGCAAGGCTCGATCCCACGACCCTGAGATCGTGACCTGAGCCGAAATCAAGAGCCAGATGCTCAACTAAATGTGCCACCCAAACCCCCTCAAAATGAATCCATTCTAAGCAGAGGATTAGAAACATCCGTGTTCTGTGATTTGTCCTTGGTGTCACTGCTGCTTGCATACTCTTGACTTAATCCCAACAAGTGGTCCATTTCATGGAAATGTATCTGACGACTAAGATGCACTGAATGCACATCTGCAGTGGGTTGAATTGTGCCCCCCCCCCCCGCCCGCCCGCCCAGAAAGATTATGTTCAAGTCCTAAACCCGGGTATCTTCAAATATGACCTGGTTGGGAAACAGGGTCTTTACATATGTAGTTGAGTTAAAGTGAATTCACCCCAGGGTTAGGATGGCTCCAGTCCAATGGCTGGTGTCCTGTGAGAAGGAGATTTGGACACAGACACAGAGACACACAGGGAGAAGGCCATGGAACCACAGAGGCAGAGGTGAGAGTGCTGCAGACACAAGCCAAGAACTCCAAGAATTGCCTGGAACTACTAGAAGGTGGGAAGAGGCATGGACTTGTCCTCCCCTAGAATCTTTCGAGGGAGCAAGGCTTGATTTCGAACTTCTGGCTGCCCGAACTATGAGAGAACACATTTCTATAATCTCACGCCGTCCGGGTTCGTGGGGATTTGTTACAGCAGCCTCAGGGAAACTGATACGACACCTTTTACACAGTGCTTTTCTGGATGCCCTCTGTCAAGGCAATTAAAATCTATAACATTAGGAATGCTAACACTCAAAAAACAAATACTCAAGTCAAAAAACAGGCAAAAGACATGAACAGACACTTCTCCAAAGAAGACAGACGAATGGCTAACAGACCCATGAAAAAGTGGTCTTCATCATTAGCCAATCAAAACCACAGTGAGATACCACCTTACACGCGTCAGAATGGCCGAAATCGACAAGGCAAGAAACAACAATGTTGGAGAGGATTCAGAGAAAGGGGAACCTTCCTACACTGTTGGTGGGAATGCAAGTTGGTGCAGCCACTCTGGAAAACAGTGTGGAGGTTCCTCAAAGAGTTAAAAATAGAGCTACCCTATGACCCTGCAATTGCACTACTGGGGATTTACCCCAAAGATACAGATGTAGTGAAAAGAAGGGCCATATGCACCCCAGTATTCATAGCAGCAATGTCCGCAATAGCCAAACTGTGGAAGGAGCCGAGATGCCCTTCAACACATGAATGGATAAGGAAGATGTGGTCCATATACACTTTGGAGTACTATGCATCCGTCAGAAAGGATGAATACCCAACTTTTGTATCAACATGGACGGGACTGGAGGAGATTATGCTGAGTGAAATACACCAAGCAGAGAGAGTCAATTATCCTATGGTTTCATTTATTTGTGGAGCATAAGGAACAGCATGGAGGACATTAGGAGAAGGAAGGGGAAAATGTAGTGGGGGAAATCAGAGGAGGAGGTGAACCATGAGAGAATATGGACTCTGAGAATCAAACTGAGGGTTTCAGAGGGGAAGGGGTGGGGGGGGTTAACCCGGTGATGGGTATTAAGGAGGACACAGACTGCATGGAGCACTGGATGTTATATGCAAACAATGAATCATGGAACATGACATCAAAAACTCATCATGTACAGTATGGTGACTAACATAACACAATAAAAAAATTTAAAAAAAAAAAAAAGGAATGCTAAGTAAAGCCACCGCGGCAGATAGAGCTGCCATGGTGGCAGTGGGGGTGGGACAAAGCAGTGCACTGGGGAGAGTCTCTGAGATCCTAGTTCTTTCCAATTCTGCCCATCGTTTATATCTGGCTTCTGCAAAAGATCTAGTGTTAAAAAGAGTCCCCCCTTAAAAACGTAAAGGCAAGGAGGGTATAATTGTGAAACACAGCACAAAGAGACACTCACCTCCACATGCTGACAGGTCTGGATGAGTTTAGCCAAAAGGGTCTCTAGTTCCGTGTTCCTCTTGATAAGGCTGGTGAGGTTACTCTCTAAGTTTTGCTGTTCAAAAAGAAAAGAAAAATATTATTCTGCATCCTGAAAATATTGTGCCGTATCCTGAAGTATTATAAACCTTTAATAACCAAATTACTCATACTCAGGAAAATGTGATCCTTTTTTCAGAAACCTCAATGAAATCTATGCAGCCTTTATAAATTACAGATTTATTTTTTTAAGATTTTATTTATTTATTTGAGAGAGAGAGTGCACACGCGCATGCGCACAAGCAGGCACAAGGGCAGAAGAGGGAGAAATAGACCCACTGCGGAGCAGGGAGCCCGACATGGGGCTGGATCTCAGGACCCTGGGATCACGACCTGAGCCAAAGGCAGACACTTAACCGACTGAGCCACCCAGGCACCCTGCATTTATAGATTTAAACTCGACTTTGAGTAGCTGCATTTAAAAGAACCTTCAAAAAATGTTCAAATTTCATTCTTTTTTTCCTCCTTCTTGTACGAACCCGGGCACATTTACCGGAATAATTAGCTCTAGGTCATGAACTAGGGAGAAAAGAGGTAATTGGATTTCTAGTTCTTTACCTGACTCAGAAGTGGCAATAATATAAGGAATATATTCCCACTGCAAGTAAACTATTATTGGATTTTTAGGATTTACCATCTTACGGGCAGGCTGAGGTCAGTCCCTCAGAGGAAGGTTTGAATTATCTGGCTATTGCTGACATGATGACTAAGATATTATTATATATTATTTATAGGCATTTCTAAGATACAAGAAGCCCTCATCATACACATTTACTCACTCATAGTACATTTTATCGTACGTGCTTCTATTCTTTGTCTATCAACATATCAATGCCAGATTAAATTTCCTTGAATGCCACATTTTTCATATCACCGTCCCGCTTACAAATCTAGAATTACTTCCTATTGCCTTAGAACATCAAATTTAAAGTTCCCTGTAATGACCATTAAATCTAGTTTTCGACCATAATAACCTGCTTCTTGTTCTGCACGCTCTTCATTGATGCCACTCATTCATTTATCCATTCACACAAGTATTTATTTAGCTTCTACTAATGCCAGACTCTGAGAGATACTGGGGAAACACAAACAGAAACTCCTACTCCCTGTCCACCAGGAGATGGCGGGGCGGGGGGAGTGTGGAAGTACTGTGAACCGAGTTAGGTTTTCCAGAGGACACATTCCTTCCGCTGAGGCTGGAAGGATGGGCCATGGAGTTTTTGGTGAACAACAATGGGAATTTCTTGGGAAGATGGGATGGAGGTAGAGGTGGTCACGGGCAGGGGATAGAACGATGTCATGAACCAAGATCACGGCAAAGAATTAGGGCGACTGTGTGTTTTACTAGTTAGACAATTCCACAAATACAGTGAAAAGACAGAACAGAAGGAAATTCCATGGAAAAGAAAACAGATTGAGGATTTATAATGCCATCTGTGAAAGAGGATTTGAAGAGAGTATTTTGAAAATCAATAATTTCATCAAGGTGATAACAGTTCACCATGCCATGAAATTAATTTCTGAAAGCATTTATTCTTTCTACTTCACAAAATTTTAGATTTGGAAAGGTACACTCAGGAAAAGAGTCACTTTTACTTAATGCTTAAAATGCATACGTCAGAAACAGAAATCTCCCTGGTCATTCTTAAACAAGTTCTGCTTATTAATCTGGTGTTTATCCTACTGCCTAATTTTTTCATTTCAATTACCACATTTTTCGTTTCCAGTGGATTCTTTATCACACCTCCCTCTTCTTGAACTACCTTCTCTTCTTGTTCCCAGGATAGGTAGTTCCCTCCTTCACAATTTCAAGAAAAGTAAACACACTTATTTATTCTTAAGCTTACTTGAAAAAAGGCAATTCCCTACTTTCCTGTGTTTGCGTGACGTTTCTCAAGAGTCTGATTTTATCTCGTATCTTACAATCTTTGTCCGACTGCTCATCTGATGCAAACTTTGTTCCCTGGGCTGGGATCCGGGGATTGGCACAGCACAGCCAAATGAGCTGCCCACTCTGATGTTAGGGCGTGAGATCGGTTCCCCAGAGAGGGCACTCCCACAGGACGCCCGTGTGTTAGAAGCACTGATTCCAGTTTGACTCAGGGCCTCCCTGAGGCATTCTGTCCCTGAGAGTTCTGTCTGGCTCCAATTCCAGACAAGGTGGGAGGTACCCTTTGAGTCCAGTATTTCCATGGGGAGTTCTGGCCTCCGGGCATATGGGACAGTCTAAGGCTTCTGCCCCATGCGGGACACTCTCCACCATGTTCCCCCCATCCGGTTCCCACCGCCCCGTCTCATCTCCATTTCTCCTGAGTAGCCCAGCTTCAGCCTTCCCCCACCATTCTGCATCTCCTTTCATTTCCGGTCCTTGGAGACTTTGCACTTATGTTGAAACTTGATTATTACTCTTCAAAATCCATTTGAAAATATCTTATCTGTGTTCTCATGTGTTCAGAACTCAGATGGACGTTTGGTACGTATTTTATCAGGACTGGAAGACCAACAAGAATGCTTCAATTTTGGCTTTGAAACATGCAAAGCCTCTCAAATACAAATATTTTAAAGGAGAAAATGACTATTTCCCACTGAAAGGATGGGACACCTTAACAGAAAGAGAAGGAACCAGACAGGGTGATTAAAGTTCAAGTTCATGATCTCATGGTTGCATCGAAGAAAACCTTGCTTTCGAAGCTCTTAACAACAACGCAGACCACAACAACAACGCAGACAACAGCCAAAAGTTTTTTCTGTTGGGATGAAATGAATCACAGCTACTAATCACTTTATGGCCAGAGACTTGAGACTAATTCTGAGGCGTTCCATTACTCAGTGTCCTTGATCTAGACGTGACTCCTTTATGGCATATTTGTCAACTTCTTTTGGTATGATAATCTCAGGGAATCCTTTTCCTTGCCTTTTTGGCTGACCCTTCCGAGCAGGAAATTTCTAGGGAAATACATCATCTAACTGTTTACACTTCAGTGATCACAGGTATGATTTTTCTAAAGCTAGTCAGCGAAAGAGAGCCAAATAAATAGAATCTAACATATTTAGATTTTACAAACATCTGCTTGCTTCCCCTCCTTTTATTAAGTATACATCATGTATAAAAATCTGTTTTTAATCAGCTAATATGTAGACTAAAGCCTGTGGTTTCAACACATTGACCTATCTGGATCCTTTGGGGTTATTCAAATTTAAATAGTACAAGTGTTACTGAAGTCCACAAAGAATTATCGAGTCACTTACAAGCATAATAAAGGGAAATGAAGCTGGGAGAGAGACTTGTTTCCAAGAAGTACCAAAGGGACTGACAACACTTCTGAAGAGAGCCCGGGTAATGGGGAGGTAACAAAATCCAGTCCTCAGTGAACCATGCATCCATAAGCTTCTACTACGGGGACTTCTGTGGTGTTTTTGAGAATTTAACTGGATCGCTCACATCCTGTGTGGCGGTCAGCCGGTCCTATAACCTCCCAATTTTGACTGTGCTTTGTGCAAAAGAGAGATAATATTTTTTGGCTTAAGAGTCTTGGGACTAAGTGTAGAGAAGTATCTACTTCCCTACGGCTATCTATGGAATTCTATGGGGTACCCAAAAAACAGTCTGAGTTTCCTGTTCTCGCCTCGAAAACGTTAATACATTTACATCTCCTTACGGAGCTGAGCTCTGGAGAGATCCAAGCAGTTGGCCTGAGCGACCACACAAGCAGGGAGTGAGGAGACTGGGGCTACCATCCCAGCTCAGTTCTCTTGGACAGACGCCACCCGGGCCCAGTTTCCCCATCTGGGGGGTGTGCGTGTGGACAGAGCTGCCTACCTGCGCTGTTAAACTCAGGGGAGGAAATGAACACATACACCAGGAACTATACAAACGTTCGTTGAAATCATGAGTTATGGGAGAAAACATTCGGTCTGGTGTCAGGGCCAGGCACTAGAGGGGCCCAGCCCCGGGCCTCGGACACTCTCGGGCTTGCTGGTGGCTTTGGGCTGCAAACACCTGTTCTTTTGGGCACCAGGGTTTGATCGGGCCCGGGCAGGGCGCGCTGGGGGGCTGAGGGGAGTGGGGAGGCTGATGCCTCTAGGAGCAGCCTTCAGTCAGCAACTACTGGCAGTAGGTAGATGAAAAGCCTGGCTTCCTTCACATCCCAGGTGGGAACCCTCTGAGTCACAACCCATAGAGTCCTTCAGGCAGCCCCACTAAGAGGAGCCAGGTGCCTGTGGTGACGAGCGGCTCCCATCCACGCCCTCTTTCTGCTTCCTTCCCTTCTTGGTCCCGCTTCCCCTCTCCCTCACAGCTGCTTCCTGGGTCGCCTTCCAACATGGATTCTGAGCCAGGGTCGTCTTCTGGGAGAACTCGACTGAAACCTTATTAGGAAAATAATCCTAGTCCACTATTTGTGCGTATTCCTTCTTATGAGGAATAGCCAAATTAACTAAAGATTTCATTGGTCTTAAAAGACATTTGCAAATGCAAGAGATTGTTTTCTCTTCCTCCACCTCCCCTCTCTTTTTTTTTCTTTTAAGATTTTATTTATTTGAGAGAGAGAGAGAGAGAGAGCTGGGGGAGGAGAAGCAGAGGAGGGAGAGGGACAAGCAGACTCTGCACTGAGCGCGGATCCCCGACAAGGGGATTGATCTCAGGACCCTGAGATCTTGACTGGAGCTGAAACTAAGAGTTGGACGCTTAACTGACTGAGCCACCCAGGTGTCCCCTCCCCTCTTTCTAGCTTTTTCTAGAGGTCACATATCCTCCAAATTCCAGGCTCTAAACCAGCAGCCACTGGAAATACAATGTCAGCCATGTGTGGCTGGACCACACATGGACCCCATGGCCCTGTGCAGAACCCTCCTGGCCGGAGAAATGTCCATGCCCCCTGAAGCCACCCACACCTTCCAAGGACCCCCACACCACAATCCCGGAGCCTGATGGGCCGCCGGAGCAATGCCCTCAACTCAGCCCTCTGGAGAGCCCGAGTCCGCATTGGCACCTCAGGCCTGCCATCCTCCCAGGAC